GACGGCTGTGGCCAGGGGGGCTTTTTATCAGGTTCGCCTGATACACCAGTTGCGTCCTTTTCTGGACCGGGACGCCTTGCACATGGTCACTCACGCCCTCATCACTTCCCGTCTAGACTACTGTAATGCTCTCTACATGGGGCTCCCCTTGAAGAGCACTCGGAGGCTCCAACTGCTCCAGAATGCGGCCGCGCAGGTGATTATGGGAGCGACTCGGCGCATCCATGTAACACCGTTCCTGCGCGAGCTGCACTGGCTCCCGGTGGTCTTCCGGATGCGATTCAAAGTGCTTGTCACCATCTTTAAAGCACTCCATGGCTTAGGACCTTGGTACTTACGAGATCGCCTTCTGCCAATACGCTCCCACAGAGAGGGACTCCTCAGAGTGCCGTCAGTCAAACAATGCCGACTGGTGACCCCCAGGGGGACAGCCTTCTCTGTGGGGGCACCTGCCCTCTGGAATGAATTGCCCATGGAGATACGTATGATCCCTGACCTACGCACCTTTCGCCGGGCCCTCAAGACGCTATTATTTCATCAAGCTGGGCTGGCCTAAATACTAAATTTTAATGGGTTGTTTCTGCTTTTAACACATGGCAGCCAGATTATTTAATATGTTTTTTAAACTGTTTTTTAACTTTTATATATTTGTTGGTTTTATTTTTTGGCTGTGCACCGCCCTGAGTCCTTCGGGAGAAGGGCGGTATAAAAATAATAATAATAATAATAATAATAATAATAATAATAATAATAATAATAATAATGACAAATGTGCAATAATAGCAACTAAAACAGGCAAGATCATAGAAGAGGATGGAATAGAACTAGAGAATGAAGAAATGATAAAGGCAGTAAAATCAGAAGAAGGCTACAAGTACTTGGGGATTTTAGAAGCCTCTGACTTAATGCATAATAAAGTCAAGGAATCAACTTCAGCCAAGTACATTCGGTGAATTCGTAAGATATTAATGTCCAAATTGAGTGGAGGAAACATCATAAAAGCCATAAATACCTGGGCTATACCTGTGATTAGATACTCTGCAGGAAGGAGGCTTTTTAAAGACAACTAAAACAAAAGCAGAATATAAGAAAGAAGTAATTGAGCAGCGAGCTGAAAATTGGAAAAGCAAAGCTCTGCATGGCCAATACTTGAAAAGTATTGAAGGCAAAGCTGACCAGAAACTAACTTGGAACTGGTTAAGATCAGGAGTACTGAAAAAAGAAACAGAAAGCTTTATTTTGGCAGCTCAAGAACAAGCCCTAGCCACAAACTGCATGAAGGCAAAAATTCAACATGTTACCACCAACAGCAAACGCCACCTCTGCAATGAGAAAGATGAGATGGTCGACCACCTGATCAGTGGATGCAGCAAAATTTCACAAACTGACTACCTACAACGCCATGACCGTGTTGCTAAGATAATTCACTGGAAATTGTGCCAGAAGTTTGGATTTGAGTACAGCAAAAACCACTGGAAACATCAGGTTGAGAAAGTTTTAGAGAATGAGAAACTCAAGATCTTGTGGGACTTTAGGATTTAGACTGACAGGCACTTGGTCCACAACACACCTGACATAATAATAGTTGAAAAGAAAAAAGTATGGTTCATTGACATTGCAATACCTGGTGATGCACGGATTGAAGATAAGCAGCAAGAAAAAATCACAAAGTACCGGGAATTGCAAATTGAAGTTGAGCGACTGTGGAAAAAGAAATCGTGTGTTGTCCCAATTGTAATTGGAGCCCTTGGAGCAACACCCAAAGGGCTACCCCGCTATTTAGAAATTCTAAATTTGCCGGACTTGAACATTTTGACTCTACAAAAAACCACCTTACTTGGAACAGCTTACATCCTCCGACGATACCTTAACAGTTCCTAGGTCCTTGGTTAGGACTCAAGCTGCTGAGCTATTAACCAGCCTCAAAGGCTGTGAATCTCACAACAACAACAACAATAATAATAATAATATTCAGATGGTGTCCCCAGAGCAGCTGGCATTTGTAAATCCATCGTCACTGGTATTTGGCACTGATTGATCACATGGATTGATGGAAGATTTACATTTGCCGTTTTTCATAATTGTCATTATGAGCCTAGGCAGTCCATGTTTAAAGGGACAAGCTTAGCATTCAATGTCATTCATATATATATATAATTTGGGAGAGTTGTTGCTTTTCAGCAGGATACAAAAAGCCCAGAAACTTGTGAATGAGATTTCACAGAACTAGGGCTGTGGAACAACTTAGCTTACGTAGGTGGAACCTGGCTAGAAAGAATATGCACATAAAAGCCTACGAAAAAGAAAAAGATATATGTATGTATGTATGTATGTATGTATATGTATATGTATATGTATATGTATATGTATATGTATGTATATGTATGTATATATATATATACAAATATACAAATGTATGGATTCATGTATGGATTGGAGGGGTTTAAAGGGGCTAATGATGCAGCTGTGGTCTGGCTTCTGGTCTGTGGTCGTGCATCATCATCAGTTTGGGTCTGCTTTCTGCGTGGATGTGTGGTGGTTACATCCTGTGTGGCTCTCGTGAGTGTGGGTCTGGTGTCATTCTTTGTGTTAGAGACTCGTTTGTCAATAAGGGCAGGTTTCCAAATGGCTGGTAGGCGGGAGGTATCATCTTGTTTATTCATGCTGTGTGGATGTTTTTCTATCTCGAAACGTTGTGTGGACATGCTGTGTGGACATTTTTCTATCAGAAAAATGTCCACACCAATCCAATCCATACATGAAGCAGACTGACACCCACCATGAAGAGGTGGCATGGCCACGAACACGAAGCCAAACAACAGCAACACAGCTCACCAGCTCAAATCCCCCTGTTACTCAGACTAACCCGAGCACAACCAAGCCCCCACCTAAACAGAACACACACCCATCCAATCAGAGCACAGCCAAGCCCCCATCCAATCAGAGCACAGCCAAACCCCCAACCAATCAGAACACACCTCCACCCAATCAGAACACAGCCAAGCTCCCACCCAATCAGTTCACAGCCCCACTGGCAGTTAAAAGGAAGAAACAGCTGCGATCACACACATTGCTCCTAGAAGCACGAAGCCGAAAACACCAGCCTGAAGATGATGAATGAGACTTCGTCGAAACGTTGCCAAGACACCTCCAATTTTACGCGGGAGAAAACCCGAATAACCAAAGACCTACACACACACACACACACACACACACACACACATATATATATATATATATATATATATATGTTTTCTCAGGTTTTCGCGGGTGTTTGTATGTAGGTCTTTGGTTATTCGGGTCTTCTCCCACGTAAAATTGGAAGTGTCTTGGCGACGTTTCGACGAAGTCTCATTCATATATATATATATATATATATATATTTGTTTAAAAGTCAAACAAGACAAAACGAATGACAACAAAACATACAAAACATGTAAACAAAGAGTTTGAATATACATTTTGTCAAAGGTATCGCAACTGTAATGCATGTTCTTATTTGTGTTTTGACTTTTCCTTGTTTGGTCTTACTCATATATCTATCTTTATGGTTCACTGTTAGCTTATGTTAGTGATTTATGTTCCTGTTTCTGTAACTCCAATTGCTCTCTATTCTTTTTTCCTTTTTCTATTTTCCATGTCATTCCATGTCATTCTAAATAGCAACTTATTCTGATGGGCTTGATGTTTTCCAATATGTCTCCTCTCTTTATACAAACCATACATTTTAACATCCTTCTCATATCCAGATTGTATCTGCACATATGACCACCATGTTATCTCAATCCCTTGCTCACTTAGTTCCTGCTTGGTTTTAAGTTCCTCCTTTTCATTTAAAACATCTTTATATCTGGTAATATTCTCTATATCAATAACATTTGGATAAATCAGTGCCTCCATTGTGGAGAGCCAGACCAGTATTTTCAAATAATGTGATTCTTTAATTTTCTCCCATACTAATAATAATGCATTCCTAACATAGTGTCTTTGGAAATAGCTATGTATTTTGTTTCTTCCATACCATAAAAAAGCATGCCAACCTAGTTCAAGTACTTGTCCCTCCAAGGTCCATTCTTTCGCCCAAATAAGTGTCGAAGCCTGGTAGTACAATTCCCAATCTGGTAGCCCAAAACCATCTCTATTTTTAGAATCTTGCAACATTTTCAAACTTATCCTTGCTTTTTTCCCTTGCCAAATATATTTTAGTATTATTTTATTTAATTCTTCAAAGTATTTTTTCCAGTTTTATTGGTATTGTTTGAAATAAATACAGTAATCTTGGCAAGATATTCATTTTTATAGTGGCTATTCTTCCCATCAATGATTAATTGTAGATTTTCCACTTCTCCAAATCAGTTTTAATTTGTTGCGCCAATTTATAATAATTACCTTCTTTAATCGTTACACACCTTGCCATTAATTGAATTCCTAAATATTTAACTTTCTTGACTATCTGTATACCTATTTTCCTCGTTAGTTCTTTTTTCTGTATGTCTGTAACATTTTTAACTATTGTTTTGGTTTTTTCTTTATTTTCAGTCCTGCAACTTCACCATATTCTTCTATTTTTGTAATTAGTTTAAGTCCATTTTCTTGTGGGTCTTCCAACATAAAAAGAAAATCATCTGCAAATGCCTGTAGTTTATATTGTTCCTTTTTTATTTCCATACCTTTAATTTCTATATCTTGCCTAATATTTCTATTTAACACTTCCAATGTCAATACAAATAGTAGTTGGTGGTGAAAATGTGAGAGAAACTGTCTACTCTTGGTATAGGATATAAACCAATCCTCTTGCACTTGGTTTGAGGAGAATTATGGGTTCATATATCAGGACATTCTTGTTAGATTTATTGAGAAATAAATATCGTAATCAATTTTGTCGTAAATAGAATTCCTATAACTAGATGGCCACTAGATGGCAGCAAAGAGATGCAAAAATATTATCAGCTAGAGGAAAAGAAAAATATGCAGAGTATTGTTTTCAATATAATGCTTACCGACCAAAATACTTGACAGCTGGAGTAACAATTAATGCACCCAGAAGTCCACCAACAGCAAAAATGGAGACCGATAAAGTCCACAGCAAGGTAAGTGACTGCTCAGTGATTGACTGGTTATATCTTCTTTCCCAGGTTTCATTGTAAAACTTCTTAATAAACTACAAACAATCCCAATAAATAATAAATAAATAAATAAATAAATAAATACTTATCAGTGTAGACAAATATAATTACTAATTAACATTTTTTTAAAAAATAAAACCAAATTATTTCAATACTTAAAAATTCCGCCATAAGGAGTCTTTTTAAAATGGGATGTGCATTTTACACCAACTTGCCTACTGACACAGAGCTTTATGGAACATGTGGGATGGGAAACCCCCCTTGGTTGTATTTTTGAAAGTTTAAAGGTCGCTATTGGTTTCCTGTTTGTGTAGAGAAGCAAGCCTGCCCCCACTCCACTAGTCATCAGGGGAAGGGGCATAGGGGCAGTAGGCTCTGTCCTTCACTTCTGTATGATCATTACAACATTTGTAGAGACTACAGACAAAAAGTCTTCAAAGGTTGCTGAGTAGTACCTGTACCCTCCTTCCCAGTTTTCTCATGGTCATTATTGCAGAGAAAATAGCAGCAGAAGCATTATGTACACTATCTTGAGTTGAACAAAATAGAGGTGGGATATGATGATGATAAAGATGAAGTGCTCCTATTCTATTGTGTCCTGGACCAATAGGATCTCTTCAGTGCCATAGGTTTTCCTATGACCCTCTATTTCCAAGGATCTGGAATAGTTCCTGGAATATTGAGTCTCAGAGTTGGTCATACATGTCAGAGTTTGTTGCAGCAATCAAATCCAGAAAGCACACACAGGTAACTGATTCAGCAGGATTCATTAACTTTTCTTTATGTATAATAGAACACATGAAAATAAATATACAATACCAATGGCTAATTCTTCCAACGTGATAGTAGTTACAAGCAAAACACAGACAGAGGAAAGAACAGTTTCAGTCAGCAGACTAGTTTCAGTTTTAGAGCTGAGCACAGAGCTTAATACAGAGCCATGCTCAGGTTCCTTCCTGTTTCAGCTTCCACTGGGTGACTTTGTTGCTATGCCCTATTCATTGGCTGACCTTGTTACCATGTCGCTGCCAGTCATGAACTCTCATACATACTGACAATACACTATGGCCTCAACTACAATCCTTCTCATGGATAACATCAACTGCTTTCCAAAAATGCTCCAGAAATAATGCAGATAAGCACGCAAACTCTTTTATCATTAATTATACAATAGTACCTCGGTCCTCGTCAGTAATCCATTCTGAAAGATATGTTGAATATCAAAACTGACAGGTAGCGAGAAAACCATGTGACTTATCATTTCAGCTGGAAGAAATAGCGAGTCACAAGGCAGCTGACAACAGCAAGTTCTTCCTTGCATGTTGACTACCAGGAGAAAGATGAGCACCTGGACAAGATTTCTGCTTCAAAACATGTCAAATACGAATTCAAGGAGTTTTGAAGTAGTCGAGTGCCAAGGTATGACTGTACTCAGATTCCAGCTGGAATGTAGTGAATCTACCATTACTAAAAGCATGCTTAAGAAAATCCAACTACAAAATTGTTTATTGTTACATGATTGTCAGACTGTCAAGATTGAACCACTTCTTTCAAACCTAATGCTTTTCAACTTGCAAATGAACTGGTGGTATGGAAATGGAATGTGGAGAATGTATGCAGAGATTGTGAGAGCAGGGAGCCAGCAAAGTCACCACTGTAGGAGATTGAAACGAAAGACAGTCTCATAATTGGACAATGTTATCAACCAGGGGTAGGGAGGAGGAGAAAGTATTGTTTAACAGGGCGAGCATCTGCACGGGATATCAGAGCTGGTTTTGTTTCTTCAGTATCAACATGGTGTATCCAATAAAGTTTTACTTTTGGTAATTCAGTTCTCCCAAGAGTGTTTCCTTGTTTTGGGTTCGCTAATTGGACAGTAGACACAGACATGAATTTAGCTTTGTAGAGGCCTGGAATAAACAGAGCAAGTTATCCTCTGCTACAGTATGTCATCTCAAAACAGCTCCAGAGAGGCTTCTATCAGTAAGTAACTGCCCAAACAGCTTGAGATTTGCATCACTGGAGCACGTTCAACCAGGCAGAGTGAGAGATAAGCAGGCGTATGTCATGTCCAGTGCTTCCTAAAACCCAGAGCCCAAGAAGTGCCATAAATGTTGAGTGCTATAAAGCAGGGGTGTCAAACTTGCAGCATCACAGCAGCATCACATGACATATCAGGACTTTTTTCCCCTTCACTAAACCGGATGTGGGCACGTGACGCATCTAGGCCGTGGGCCGCGAGTTTGATATACCTGCTATAAAGGAAGAAAAGAATTAAATTTGCCACAAGCTCCATCCAAGTTAGATTATGTTGTAGCAGTGATAGAATATGAGGTAAGAGTTAGAGATAATTAATTGATTCAATCAAGCTGAAGACAAGGAAACACATCAAATCCTATTGGGAAAGACAGAAGTCAATGAGCAAAGCAGTAATTTTAGACCAGAGTGGAAGTGATGTGTTTTTTTTTGCGTTCAGCACTTCCCCTGCAATTTATATACTTGTTCCACCTGGGAAGATCAAACTGGATGCAAATATCACAACTGGGCACCAAGATTGATTTCAGAAATGGAAAATTCCTTTGTGCTCCTAAAGGTGCTTTAAAAAAATATTTTCTAAACAAGTAAATCCACTTTGAATGCTTTTAATATTAAACAGTGGGATAAAATTACATAAATAAAATTCATCTAAAAGTTCTGAGAAAAAAGATGTCAATTCCTCCTTTTGTTCCAGAAAAGCAGAATTTCTAAGAAACTAAGAAAAGCTATGGGAGTAGTCTTTCAACGTTCTCATTTCCATCCCTATTTTTCTTTTTCAATGTGCCATGATTACATAGCCTGCCTTTGTTGATTCAGAGAGGCCCCTTTAAAGTCACCAAGATTCTGAGATTCTCCCATGAATCCTGCAATTTGAACAGGTGGTGCTTGCATTGCAGTTTAAAAAAATAGTTGGAATCTCAATTGTTTTTCACATTTCAGAGGAAATTCCAACATTTCAGATAAACCTGTTTTTCTCCATTTTCTCCTCTTTAACAAGTATTTATTATGTCACTGAAAACTCAGCATTTAACTTCCCTTGGAAGTTGTAAAATTTTAGATGCTCTTTTTTTCATTTGCAATGAATGTACAAGTAGTTCTCTGCTTACAGCTATTCGTTTAGCAACTATCTGAAGTTACAACAGCACTGAAAAATGTGATTTAAGACCATTTTTTGCACTTAAAACTGTTGCAGCATCCCCATGGTCATGTGATCAAAATTCAGACCTTGGCAACTGGCTCATATTTATGATGGTTGCAGTTTCCTGGGATCATGTGATCACCTTTTGTGACCTTCTGAGAACCAAGGTCAACAGGGAAGCCAAATTCACTTAACAACTGTGCTACTAAGTTAACAACTGCAGTGATTTACTCAACAACTGTGATAAAAAGATTATAAAATGGGGACAAACTCATTTAACAACTGTCTTACTTAGCAATGGAAATGTCGGGCTCAGTTATGGTCATTAGTCAAGGACTACCTATATTTTCCATAGTTCATTTCTAAATTAAAGAACTTAACTACCTCTTTGTTATTTGAGGGGGGGGAACACAATAGGTCAATTACCATTTAGGGACTGGTTTACACTCATCAAACACAACACACACAAATGCTTTTCCTTCAGAAGAAGTCATTTCTGAAGTCACATTTGAATAAAATGACCTGTGTTTACTAGATCAATTGCTGAAGCATGTAATGGATTTCATCAGTGACCAAAGTGCAAGTAATGGGGTCAAAGGTGCAAGATAAACACAATTTCACCGTGACTAATTTAGTGTTCCAGTGAAAAATAATCTGCACTTTGTATGACTATCATGAATGACCATCAACAATATTGGAACACTACTGAAATAACTATGTAATAAATGCTCATTTCTCCTTTGGTCACTGTATATTCTGTAGTAATTTTTTGGCTACCATATTGTGTTTGCATGCACTGTCTTGCACCTGGATTCAGCACAGCAACTTTGTAAGGGCTCTGCGAAATATGGTTCCAATGAACCTCTAAGGTGGTCCATTTATAGATAACTATGACACTGACAAGCATCAGAACTTTTTTTCCTCAGACTTCTGAGGTTTAGTGACCTCTTTCTTTTCAGTCTAAGACAAACTTCCTTAACTTTTTGTTTTCATGACCCCTTCCTGTTTTTAAAAATGATGGAGGACCCCAAAGGGGCTTTTGTTTTATGGGTTATATTTGCTGATATTTGCCATATTATGCTTAATTAAAATTAAAATGGACACATTTGTAAAATATTTATTGAATCAATCATATTATAAACCCATTAGACGTTAACGTAAATAAAAACTCTATATTTTTAACAAAGAAAAATAAAGAGCTGTTTTAAATTTTTACAAATATCTTCAATATCTGGCAAATAATTTTGATTTCTTGGAGAATCTTGGATTATACTTTAAGAAACACTTGTCTAATAAGCCCTTTCCAAAAAGTCATTATCAGATGTGAACTTAATTTGCTCAGATAGCTCAAATCTAAGTCTTTGCTTAATGCCAAACTAAGGCCATAATAGCATATTTAAGTAATATTGCTTTGCTAATAATGTTAAGAGTAAGAGTTTATGTCAGCTTTTCTTTTATACCTGTTTACAAGTCCAAATGATAATGGAACTATCCATGATCGGTGATGCTACTTTAACCTCTTTGGACAACAGTTGTTATATAGGTAGTTGTTATTATACACAACCACAGTTGAGCCCAACATTTCTATTACTAAGCAAGACAGTTGTTAAGTCAGTCTTGCCCAATTTTACAATATTTCTTGCCATAGTTGCCAGAATCACTGCACTGCAGTTAGTAATACAGTTATTAAGTGATTCTGGCTTTCCTATTGACTTTATTGTCAGAAGGTTGCAAAAGGTGTTCTGAGGACACTGCAGTCATCATAAATACATACCAGTTGCCAAGCATCTGAATTATGATCACATGACCATGGGAATGCTGCAACAGTCATAAGGTAAAAACAGTCATAAGTCACTTTTTTCAGTGCTGTTGTAACTTTGAACAATCACTAAATGAATGCCTGTAAATCAAGGACTACCTGTAGCCACAAGCTGTTTAAGGAAATTGCACCTAGTTAATTTTATACATTGTCTTGAGTATCAGATAATCTGTATATCTGGTATTTCTAAGCATCTCCCTAATTTTAAATTTATAAGGTATCTAGTCAACTAGTATTAAAGCACTTAGCTGGAAAAGGATTTCAGCTTTAAAGAATGAGAAGCTAGTGAAGCCAAGAAATTTCTAGCAAAGCACCCACAAATGAATAAAGCTTGTGTCTTCCCATGAAAACAGCTACAGTATTCATAGCCAAAGTGTGGACTCAGTGTATCTATAAATAGCAATAGCACTTAGACTTATATACCACTTCACAGTGCTTTACAGCGCTCTCTTAAGTGTTTACAGAGTCAGCATATTGCCCCCAACAATTTGGGTCCTCATTTTAGCCAAGGATGGAAAGCTGAGTCAACCGTGAGCTTGGTGAGATTTCAACTGCCAAATTGCAGGCAGCTGGCAGTCAGCAGAAGTAGCCTGCAGTACTGCACTCTAACCACTGTGCCACCATGGCTCGTCTATAAAGAAGATGAAACACGTGGAACTTGATTTCCCTGTCCCACTAATATTTATTGTTACAGCTACAATAATGTGTAAAGCTTACTGACCACATCACACTTTATGGACTTTTATTTCCAAAATGTTAACAGGTAGAGGTAATCCTAGAGTTACAAATATAATAGAGCCGGACAATTACATTTGTAACCTGTGGATTCATTAATTAGATCACGTTAAATGAATGTGATCCTTCCCTGCTTTACCCATTGCATTCACTAATCAAATGCACAGGTTGTTAAGTACACATGAGATATCTCAGGGTGGGGAAGACCATGGGGGCTCTAGTGCTACTGACCACCCAGGGCTCCCACAACCCACTAAGATATCTCGTGCTTCCTCCTCCCCTATCCTGCCCCACCAGGTCACTTACCTTTCAAAGATCTCGATAATCAAGCAAGCTGTCCCCTCCAGCTTCTCTGCCATAGTTTCTTTGTCTGCTCAGGGCACTCCAAAAGTGAAGCAGTGAGAGCAGAGGCAGAGCAGGAGGAGCCTGCCCTGCTCAGCTTAGCTGATTCACCAAGCTACCTGTGCAGGACACCAGATTCACTTTTGGAGTGCTGGGCAGTCTGAAGGAGTACAAGACCAAGCTCCCAAAGGCTTCTCTTCTCCATGCCAAAAGGTTTTGCAAAAGAATGGAAGCCTTCGGAGGAGTGATCTTGCACTGCTTGAAACCTTCCGTCCCTCTGCAAAAGCTTTTGGCTTGGAGAAGAGAAGCCTGAAGGACCATGAGACCATGCCCCAAAGGTTTCTTTACTCTGCGCCAAAAGCTTTTACAAAGGGATGGAAGGTTTCAAGAGAAACAATCTCGTACTGCTTGAAGCCCTCCATCCCTTTGCAAAAAAAAGAAGCAGATCAGGCATCCTGCACAAGCAGCATTGGTAAGTCAGCCAAGCTGAGCAGGGTGTATTTGTCCTGCTCTGCCTTTACTCTCACCGCTCCGCACCATGCTGCCGCACAAACCCCACAGCAGAGAGGCTGGAGAGGAGACAGCTCACTTGAGGAGAGAGAAGGAGCGGTCAGCCTGTTCTAGAACTCTGGATCATCAAAAGGTAAGTGAGCAATCAATTGGTAATGGGGTGGGAAAGAGCCAGTGGGCTAGCATAGCATGACCAGTGTCTTTTAGGTCCCTGGGGGTGGAAATAGACAGGGGGAATATTGCAATGTCTCTGTGGTCAGTCATAAGGGTGAATGACTGCCATGGTGCTGCAACGTTCGTAACTACAGGTCTGTGTCATAAGTACTGGGGGGAGGGAGACACAACTTGGAACTGTCGCTAAGTGAACTGTCATAATTCGAGGACTACCTGTATAAAAACAAGGATAACCATATATGGATGTAACTATGCAGTCTTATGCAAATTAACCAAGCAAGGAAAAGTAAAATCAGAAATACAAGAATAGTGCTTCCACTGAAGGAATAGATTCCCGCTTGTTCTTTATTAAATTTAAAAAGGGGAAATAAAAAAATACCAATTGTGAGATATATTAATTACTTCAAGATGGTATGTTCTCACTTAAAAAGATAATGACTGCCAATAATATATTAAGTGTAGATAAAAATGAACAATTAATAAAAAACCCTTTTGAAATTATATAATCATTACTCCAGAGAATTTAATCAATTGCCTGAAAACAGTAGTGGGATTCAGCCGGTTCTCACCGGTTCAGTAGAACTGGTAGCTAAATTTTTGTGGAGTTCAGAGAACTGACTGAATAGCCTTCCTCCCCGACCCAACCCGACCCCTCTCCACCTGCCACCTCCAAATTGCAGTTGGCTAAGTGCCATGGCACTTAGGAGGGGAGAAGAGACAGCAAGAGGAATCCCATCTCGCTCCATGAACCCCAATGAAAAGCAGCAGCAGCCCGGCTGCTTCCCTTTCCCACCACTTCCGCAAAGGAACAAGTCACTCCCTTACCACAGCCTTGGCTTGCCTCCCTCCCCCCTTGCTTGCACATGCACAGCCCCAGCAAGGGAGCCCAAGATGGCCACCTCTTTTATCACTCCCTCCCTCCCTGAACACAGGCATGGGAGAGGCACTGCAGAAAGAGGCAGAGTGGGCAGGCGCATCAAACTAGAGGCCTTTAGGAGAAGTGCACTGTTTGGGGGCAGAAAAGAGATGCAGGCGGCGCTGCTCTTGCGTTTCTTCTTCTTTCACTTTGTTTGGGCTGGAGTTGCCTTGATTTGCCCTCCTCACTTTATCCAGTGACAGAGGTGGCATCTTAGGAAGCCATGGCTTAATTACGGCATTCAGCACGTGATGGAATCCTCTTTCTTTCACCATCTTTCTTGGGAGAAGCGAGGGCATCTGGGCGGTTGTGGGTGGGGCAAGCTCCATGGCACGGTGCTGCACTGCAATGGAGAAATGGGCAATGGAGTAGACGGCAAAAGGGAAGGAGGAGGCTGCTTTCCTTATTTCTTCTCCCTGCTCCTCCTCCTTCCCTCGTGCAATTTCTCCATTGCAGTGCAGCGCCCAGGATCCACTTTGATAGTGGGTGTGTGTGTAATTTAACAACTGGTTCACCCAGGTCAGGTTGGCCATCGTAGGAGGCCCGTCCCACATGTGTGGCAGAGCTGGAAGACGGGGATGGGCCATGCCTCCCATGACGGCCAACCTGACCCTAGGCGAACTGGTTGTTAAATTATTTGAATCCCACCACTGCCTGAAAACATCTTCATTCCTCTTCTGCTGAGAAAGAGCCAATTTACAGCTGGACAAAGAAACAAGGAACACAGGACAAGTGTAGACCAATCCTGCAAAAACTTTCTGTTACTACATCCCATTGCTGTACCAAACCAATTTTAGACTTTAAAAAATCATTTTCTCACCACAGTCGGAGCATTCACCACAGAGAGATTGTAACCATAGAGGAAGGAGGATCCAAAGGCTCCAGCCAAAGATGCTGTTATAAGACTAATAGACCAGTCCTGAAATGAAAAGAGAACACTGTTAGAGTACAGAGAAACAACAGAAATTACAAGTAAACACTACTTGCAGAAATACAGATTGGAAAATCTTATTTTTCTAAACCAAAATCAGAGAGAAATTGTCTTTCTTAAGGAATTTATATGAAAATGTATTTAATTAGGGAACTAAAATAGAACAATTTCTTAGGAGGTACCTAAGAAATTGAGCAACCTGTCTATTCTGTTTATACCAGCTTTCTCCAGCTTCTCCAGCTTGAAGAACTGCTGATGGTCTAAGTCAGGGGTGTCAAATGGTGGCCCGCGGGCTGGATGCGTCACACACATGACACATCCAACCCAGTTCCGTGAATGGGGAAAACGTCTCAAAACATCATGTGACAGCAATATGACGTGGCAAGTTTGACACCCGTGATCTAAATCTATAGTTCTCCAAAAAAATCAATTCAGGTGTTGTCCATGATGGGCAGCTGGAAATTCTTGGAGTTGTACTTGGGGTGCAAGATATGGGAAAAGTTGAAATATAAATCAGGATCAGAATTCCTGAAATATGCTGTTGATTCATTTCATGAGTGACTTCTCTATAACATTTTTCTTAATCATTTACAGAGAATCATTTTCTTATTTTTTTTAAATTCTTAAGGAAAAAAGTTTCCAGCAAGTGCACCAACTTGTAACAATTCACTTTTTAATAATTTTGGCCAGCCTCCACACAATCTAATGCTCACATATACAAATCCCCTCACTTCTAGATAGCATGAACAAGTGTCATTCTCTCCTAGTCAAAATCTAGAGCAATTATAGAACTCTTTGTACAGTAATGGGTCTCATTAAAACAAAACAGAACGGGATAAACTTCTAAAAATAGCCAGACTTAAATTACCTATTTACAATTACAAAAAATAATGAATTGCCATATTCTACATGTCATCCTTGACATCGAATGATTATTTGATTATTACCCATTGGATATTCATGTAAACAGAAGATAGATAATTAGGCTTATAGGAAAGGGTGCACTGCTTTCTTGAAACACAGATCCTTGTAGCAAAAATTTGAATCACAGATTTCCTGGTTCAGTCTCTAAAGTAATTACATTTGCGTAAGTACTGTATGTACCTGGTACACATACACACTTCTATTTTGGATATGAATCCCAGTAAGGTATTCTACCCATTTCCTTAGGATTATTCCATCTTTTAGTCAACAAGCCCAGGCAAAAATTCTTACCTGTAATAAAGACTACTGAATATGAATTTGGCAAAGACTGCATGTTAGAAAAACAGAAAAATATGAAAAATCCTTATGTTCTATGCCCGTGATGGCGAACCTATGGCACGTGTGCCAGAGGTGGCATGCAGCACCCTCTCTGTAGGCATGTGAGCAGGCGCCCCAGTTTAGCTCCGCCGCGCATGTGCGTGCGCCTCCCATTGGCCAGCTGGTCTTTGGGTCTCTGCTGCGTATGTGTGGGGGCCTGGGGGGAGTGCGCGCATGCGTGGGGGGACAGGTTGTGTGCAGGGGGCGTGCATGTGTAGGACATGCATGCGTGGGGCACTCATGTATGTGTGGGGATGGGACGCATGCGCAGGGGCTGCATGTGCATGCTCAGGGATGGGGTGCATGTGCAGGGGCCGCACACGCATTGCATTTTGGGGATTTGGGGCATGCATGCTTTGGGTACTTGGTCCAGAAAAAGTTAGCCATTACTGTTCTATGCCATCATATAGCAATCTAGTCTACGACAGTAAGAAAAATAAGCAAGTAAACAAATACCATTTATCAGCATTATAAACTGACCCCAGAAACAAACTAGTAACACAGCTACTGTAGGTTGGGTGTGAAAATTTAACTAATGGCAGCTTCCAGAAATGTAGGTGCCCAATTTATCAAAGCTACATCTTTTTGCATGTTTCCCTCTCTTCAAAGTTGAAAACTCAAGCTGCTCAAATAAGAAACAAGGTTTTTCAAGGAGAGTACAATCCTATCCAAGTCTTGTCCAAGAAGACATATTTCTCTCTTACCTAATTTAAGTATTTTATGGCCTCATTCAGCCCTTGACCTTCTAACAGTTGAGGGCAAGACTGAGTTGCATATCAGCTACATTTTGATGCAATGGAAAATGCTGTAGACAATTCAACAAAGCCGGAGGAGAAATGTCCTAGTCAGAAAAGCTTCACAAAAAGCGGAACAATAAGTTTTCTTGGGCTTTCCTCTTCTGCAGTCATTTAAGCAAAGGCCATATTGTTATTGCATTTAGCACTGAACCAGGTCTCTCTTAATTCAAGACTCTTTAATTTCACTTAGTACCAAAGTTTTAAGCTGAAAAATTGATTGAATGAACCTAGGGAGAATCTGTAATTAGTAAATGGGGATGTTTAGACAACTTGTTTAGATCCCCGGCCTATTTTTACAACAATGGCAATAGCACTTAGACTTATATACCGCTTTACAGTGCTCTACAGCCCTGTCTAAGTGGCTTACAGAGTCAGCATATTACCCCCAACAGTTTGGGTCCTCATTTTACCGACCTCAGAAGGATGGAAGGCTGAGTCAACCCTGAGCTGGTGAGATTTGAACTGCCAAATTGCAGGCAGTAGGCAGAAATAGCCTGCAATACTGCAACCACTATGCCACCACAGCTCATACACTACCCAATTTCTTTTCCAGTATGAGGGCTTTTGCCATCAAAGTATACAAAATAGCAATGGATACAAAAGCAGATCTGGGAAATACTTTCTAGTCTAACTACAGATAGTCCTCAACTTACAATCACAATTGAGCCCAACATTTCTGTTGTTAAACAAGACAAGTGATGCCCATTTTATGCCCATTGTATGACCTTATTTGCTACCAGTTGTTAATTGAATCACTATAGTTGTTAAGTGAATCTGGCTTTCCCCACTGACTTTGCTTGTCAGAAGCCAGCTGAGAAGCTTACAAATGGTGATCACATGACCTCAGGACACTGCAACTGTCATAAACACATGCCCAGTTCCCCAGCGCCTGAATTTTGTTCACGAGACTATGAGGATGCTACAACAGTTGTAAGTGAAAATCAGTCATAAGTTACTTTTTTCAGTGCCATGGTAGCTTTGAACAGTCACTAAAACAAATGGTTGTAAATTGAGAACTATCTATAGTTCTTTCTGCTCTTCCAGTAACATTGCTGCATTACTACCCATATCCTTGCTCAGCCGGGAGACCCTGACACTCCCCAAAGAAAGAAGTTTCTTCCATAGTTGGAAGAAAATAGAAAAGATAAAGCATAGCTCTCCCATGGAATAATGCTGTTTGCCTCTGCTTTAAAGCATGCTTTCTGAATCTGGGATTTATCAGGCCTCACTTCCTCAGCAACTACTGCCCCCAAAAACTGAGAAAAAGGACAGAACACCTATATGATTTCACCTTTCATAATATAGATTCATTTTTATGTAAAACTGAAAATGAAGGGAATTGAAGTGAAGAGAATTGGAGTGTCATTTAGATCCCCAACGGAGTTTATTTTTTTAATAAAGTTTTTTTTTTTATTTTTTAAACCCCCAAACATATAATACATCTTTTCTGAACAGAATATTGGCCTGGTCTTAAATTTGTACAGATTTTTGTTCATCTTTAACACAATTTTATATGTTCAATTTTTCTCATATCATTTATTCTCTCTAATTTTAAGAAACCAATATTACCCTTCATCTTAACTTCTCATCCTATTATAGTTCAGTTTTTCTTTTCCCGCCTTAAAATTTGAACCCCAAATTTAAATTCACATAACATAGTACAATCCCCAATTATTTCTTTAAATTCTCTTATTCTAATCACCAATGATTCTTTTATCAACTATTCCAAATAATACAATTCAACATATTAGTAAAAACCAATTAAATATCTATCTTAACCCAAATGTTCCGACTATTATAATTTCATATATTAAACTTCTTATTTCTGAGTCTTATTTTCAATTCTTAAACATCCCCACCTTTTATCATTTCTTCATATTGACTTAAATAATTTATTATCATCATTCTATTACTTCATCAATTATTTATATTCTTATCTCTTATTTTAAAAATAACCCATTTATCATAATTTCACTAATTAGTTAAACATATTCAATAAAAAAATCAATTATCAATCTTACTCCAGTACCCATAAATTTAAATTCATACAACATAATACAATTCCTAATTATTTTCTTAAAATCTCCTGTTCCAATCTCAAAATAATTTTTTCTTTATCAACTGTTCCAAATAATACACTTCAACATTTTTATAAAAAAGTTAATTATATCTAATTAATTCATAATCCAATTTCAGCTTTCTTTTCTTATTTAGTTAAATTCCAAATATGTAATTAAGACTTCGTTATTATAGTCCCCTTCATTAATTAAAAATATTCCAATTATTACATTCATCATACATTCATATAGTTTAAAATCACTTCATTAAAAATACAATTTCATCTTTTCTCTAGTATTCATTTCATTTACCCCATATTCCTCTTCCATTTTTTTCTCCCTTCTATCTTTATATTTTATTTTATTTTTCTTTCCCTTTCTTTTCTTTTGTATTTTAAAATCCTGAACTCTCTTTTCCCTTTTTCTTATCTTTCCAGTTAATCCCAGTATAATCATTTTGTTTTTTAAAATCATAAACTCTTCTATTTTGCTGTCTTTCCCATTCTTTTCCATCCCTTTTCCCTTTTTCTTACGTTCTCACTGATAATCCCAGTGTAATCATTTAAGTTTTTTATATTCTTTCTATTCTACCCTTTTTTCTTTCTTTCTTTTCCCTTTTTTTATTCCTTCCATTGTTAATCCCAATGTAATTTTTAAAGTTCTCCTTTTTATTATTACTACCCACATAATCATTTAATTTTCCATAATCAATCTCCTTATCTTTGTCTTCTTCTTTATTGTCAGTCTCTTTTTCTTGCTTCTCATTAGTTATTTCTTTGTCAGCTTGAGTGTATCCTAAGTCAATTTTTTGGTCATCAAGTTTCAATTTTCCATGCAACATTGTGGTCATTTCCCTTATTTCCATTTTCAATGATAAGTACATCGTTTTCATAATTTCCTTAAGTTCCTGCACCATTTTGTTCTTTCTAGGTTGATATTATTTCAATTGAAGTTATGTTGTAATCCTCTTTTTTTTCCCTCAAAGCCAAAACACTTGTGAACAAACAAAGCCTCCTTAAAAATTCTCACATGCTGTTATCCCTTTCAAAGTCCAAGTTTTTTTTTTCAAAACAAAGATTCAGTGTTGTAATATTTTTTTCTCCTGAAGATGGCTCTCTACAATCCACTATTACAATCAACAAGCTTAAAAGGTATCCATTTTGTTTGCAGTCCACTTTAAACAGGTTTTACTTATTTAATTTTTCTTCTTCTTCTTTTTCACCTTATATATGCATCAAATCAATTTAAAATTCAGTCCAGATTTGCATAGTCCAAATTCCACGTTACATTCCAATTTAGTTTCAATTTAAAGTCATTAACCAGTCCTTTCTATTACAGGTTTTTCTTCATTCTTTAACCTTCCACCCTTTAAAGTTCCCAAATTTAAGAAGGATCTTTTCGGGTTCTTAATTCTTCTAATTTTTTTTAAAGTTCTCCAAATACTTAAATAAAAAAAATAAAAAAATAAAAACCCACAATTTTTTGATCGAGTTTTGTCACTTTATAACTTCCGCCTTAATCTTCTTCTGTCCTTTCCCACTGTTAGCCGCTGTTATAGTGCCAGGACATTTACAATTATTTTTAAAATCCTCTTTTTTTTTCTTTCTGCCTATGAGTTAGATGTCACTCACCCAGCATCAATATTCCATTCAATTCTCCTCTCCTGCACAGTGCTTGGTCCGGTTGCCCCAGCTTACTGGCGGTTGTAATTCCCCCCCCCCCCCCCCCCCCGCAGAGTCAGAGAGAATTTCCTCTGATCTCGGAGGAACTTGCCTGTTCCTCTTGGTCTTCCGAGGTACCACTCTTTCTTCCCTGTCCTTACAGGACAGATCCGGTCTGAAGACCCCTCTGCAGCGGTTCGTCAGCCCAGGATTTCGCGGAGCTCCTCAGAGACCACTAATCCCCGACTGCCTCGCCGTGACGCTTCTAGTCGAACCCCCAATGGAGTTTATGTGGGAAGGATCTGGGGTGGCTTTTGCAAGGCCAAAATGGTGAATTCTTGAGAGATCTGAGCAAAAGCAATAGGTCTTGTAATACAGAGACTAGGCCACTTTTAGGGCTGACAATACATGTATACCCACTCCACTTAAGAATGATTAGGCCTAGCCAGATCCCCTCTCCAACAATGACCCTTGGATGGGACCTAGGAGGGAGAGATGGGAGCTAGGGCTGCAGAAAATGAAGCTAGAGGGTAAAAGAGCCTGCCAGGCTTTAGAATGGATGGGTGGGTGAGGTGTACTATTTTCATTCACATGAAGGGCCGGGGGCATGCTGCCATTCAGGCTGGGATGCAAGACGCAGGCTACCATTGGTGCCCTGAAAAATGCAGACAGAATACTATAAGGCAGTACAGGGAGTCCTCGAGTTACGATCACAACTGAGCCCAAACTTTATGTTGCTAATTGAAACATTTGTAAAGTGAGTTTGCCCAATTTTACGACTTTTCTTGCCAAGTTGTTAAGTGAATCATTGCATTTGTTAAGTTAGTAACATTGTTAAGTGAATCTGGATTCCCCATTAATTTTGCTTGTTCAGAAGTTCACAAAAGCTGATTACATGACCCACCCACCACCCCCAGGACACTGCAATGATCATAAATATGAATTAGTTGCCAACCATCTGAATTTTGATCATTTGACCATGGAGATGCTGCAACCAGTTGTAAGTGTGAAAAACGGTCATAAGTCACTTTTTTCAGTGCCATTGTAACTTTGAATGGTCACTAAATGATCTATTGTAAGTCCACAACTACCTGTATTCTGCTGCGGGGCTGCATTCTCCTCCTTTCCATCCCCCTACTAATAACCCACATCATCTCCCTGGAGATCTCCAATACTATAGGTTGAGTAGTATTTTTAGCTATGAAACCAACAGGTGCAGTACCAAATTTCTCTTAACTTTGCTGCTCCCTCTCTAACCCTCCTTTAACCCCTCTAACACCCTTCTCTCTGCTCCCTTTTTAACTTCCTCCCCCAGTTTCTGTCTGGAGGGTAGAAACCCAGTTCCCTGAGCGCCGGTCAACTGTAAGCTCTCCCCCCCTGCCCCGGCGTACGCGGGTGCCAGATGGGCTATCACGGTACCTCCCCGTTTTCCCGGGAATCGGTCCCGCGATTCCGAAAGGGCAGGAAAGCGTTACGTCCCGGAGTGCGAGCGGGCACCAAGCCTGCTCTTCTCCTTCCTGGCATTTGAGAGACTCCGGCCTCATGCAGAGGAAGGCGGCGACCCTGCGGGTCAAAGGAAGAAAGAGCGGCACCTGTCACCGGAGACTCCAACTGTGTCGCCAAAGTCGGAGCTCTTGGCTTCTTTCTCAGGGAAAGGCGAATACCGTCGGGCGCCGCTTTCTTGGGAGCGAGTCCTGGATGGGTCACTTCCGAGGAAGCGGGCGCGCACAGGTTGCGCTGTGCAGCCGAGCCACGTGAATTGTTGAGCAAGATGGCTCTCTTTCCCCGAGAGCTCGCGTTTAGGTACTCACGTTTCTACCTCGTTGGCTACGCGCTGCGACGAGGGGCACTAAATTGGCCATATTTGACGGCTACCCTGGCCTCGGTGCGCGTCGGCGCCCGCGACTGCCAGCTCCTCTACCTGTGCCCCAGCATGCGGGCGGGGCGCCGAAAAGGTGGAGCCCGGAGCCAGTTGCCGCCAGCTACAAGAAAGAGCGCGGCTTGGAGCCCAGGCAGAGGTCGCAGGCCTCCGTTCCCGGGTTGCTGGAAAGCCGAGTAGAGAAAGGCAAGTCGCCGCCTTGTCCTGCGGGGGACCTTGGCCAGGTGGGGGAGAGTTTTCTCCAGAGGATTGGGATTCTCCCAACTTGAAAAAGAGTTCCCGTGTCAGAACGACTTTACACTTGGCTTCTACATCCCTGTTCATTCATCTAAAATTTGCCACTTTAAAGAGAGACCATAAGAGCATTCCAACTGCCACTTGTTCTTCAAATCCAAAAAATCTGAAATATAAAATAAAAAATCATACTAATGCTATCTAATGATGGGTGGTGCATCTTTACAAAGAAAAGTGTTTTCCTCAGATTCCACTTCCAATTTAAATTAAGGAAATGACCTCTTGTGGGCCTCCGGGTTTGTGTATGTAAAATGAGTTGTGCCACATAAAAGATCTTACATCAGAAGTGGACTGTAGACAAGTTTTCTGACAAAACCAAATTATTTGGGGAGTTTCAAATTGAGGCAGTGGATACTTCCAGAAGAATTTTTTTTTTAGCGTATGGCATGTGTTAGCACACAAACAAGTTTAAAATTGACTCTTAATTTCCTTGGTAGTTTTTAATTTTAAATTTGTGGAAAGCTTCAATCAATGATAACAAGAAACTTAAAGTTCAAGTTGGTCACTTTTGGATGATGTGTCAATTTCCCCTTTCTTGACTACTACCAAGGAAATTAAAAGCCCAAGGAAAAGGTAAAGTCATACATTAAATATTAGTGGGTTAAGGAAAACAAATCTTAACCTCTCTGAAAATCAGAGCTTCCATAAAATCAAAAGAAATTGGTGAGGAAGGAGTGAAATGTAACTGGTTTCTATTATTAGTGTTAACTATCAGTAATTGTGCTTGTAATTAAAAGATAAAAATAAAAGAGGAATTCCCACTTTACTCATGCCTGGCACCCTTAATTCTTTTATCTATGGATTTTTAGTTACTATCATGAAAAAATCCAGCAACATTATATCTAATAAATTGTTCTTTATCTGTGAAAAAAATTGCAACAAAACTTTCATTATGACCTATAAAGCATATTAATAAAGGAAAGATAAAGAAAGGAGTTATTGAAATGATCCGGGGTGCCCCAATTTCCCTTCAAATATGTCTCAAAGGAGTTTTTCCCTAGAATAAATACATATTGGATAGTGTAGAGATAGCCGATAAGAATACTGTGGAGGTCTCGTTGCTGTCATCTCATTCAGATAAAGTGCTCTTGTACAGCTACCCCAATGTTATTCTCACTCCAGTGTGCATTGTTGTCAAGCACATGAAATATGGTCATATATGTGCATGTTGGTCAGAAAATGGGTAGTTAAATGAGGAATGAGTATACTATAATGGTCTCTGTTAACTAATAGTACCGTAATTCATATTCACATTCTGAGCTAATGTAACAGAATTCTCAACATTCAGAGTTGGAATGGACCTTGGGAGATCTTCTAGTCCACCTCCCTGCTCAAGCATGAAACCCTATAATATTTCTTCAACATTCTGAATGTTGAAGAAAATTATCAATGCTCCAGGTTTTATGAAGTTTCTGTTGCCCTTGTCATCAAATCAAAGTAACTTTTATTATGGTCAAAGACCATAAGAGGGATGGGATACAAGGAATTTAAAAGCATAAAATACAAAACTAAAATTATATTAAAAGCTTTAAAAAAATTAAAAACCTTTTTTTAAAAATCTAAGAAAAGTTAAAAGCAGGGACAAAAACAATAAATCAATATAAAAACATGGCAAACTAAATTTGTCTGATATAAATAATACCGTAAGTTTAATATAATCTATATAAATAAAAATGTAAATATCCGTTTGTACATAACCGCACATATCCGAAAGTTCTTCACCGATTGCTTTCAAATTTTGACACAACGTTGCATTCGACTATGGGCGTGTTTTTATATACCTATATTATATACATGTCACATCTGTGACAGGTAAAAACATGGAAAACATTGAAAGACATTGAAAAACAGCGCCATCTGCTGGACATAAAACCAACATGGCAGTCTCCCAGCCCTGATTACGCTCAACAGATTTCTGCTCCTTATATTTAGACTCTCCATATTGCTTCCAAGAAACTGCGCATTTGGAAGGCAGAGACGCCCGAGGGCCATATCCTGCCACCAGGCTCGGCAGGTAGGCAGCCGGCTCCCCGCCCGAGCCTGGGTCTGGCCTCCCCCTCCCCCGGCCACCCCGCGAACTAGCCTTGCCCGCCACTGCTGCCCATCCCCCTCGCCAGCCGCTCTCGGGGCTCCCTCCAAAGAACACCTGGCAACGAGGCTACCTGGGTCCGCCGAGCGGGAACCCTCTGTCCCTCGCCTGGCCCGAATCACGCCTGGCCCAGCACTACCACGGGCCCCAAGGTCAGAAAGACCAGCCGCTAACTGGCACTATGCGAATCCGGTCAGTGAGTGGGAGATGGAGGCAACTGGAACCTTGGGGTCGCCTTTGACCAGCACCGCCTTTGATTCCCAGGTGGGCGCTCTGGCACTTCACGGAGCCTACACGAAAATTTCGGCCTCTGGCAGAAAAGGGGTCTGGGGAGGCTTTGGGGGGCAGAAACAGGCAGGAGGGAGGATAGCCAGCCCTCCTTCGTTTCGCCTGGAAGAGCAGGGGATTTAATCATTCCCCTGCCCTTGGCAGGCGGGAGAGGAGAACTGCGCAGCAGGGGTCCAGTGGGGTGTGCGTGGCTCCTGGCTTTGCCGCTTTCTTCCTTCGGGCGGGAAGCCCAAAACCAGCCTCAAACTCCCGCCACACCCCCTTCCTCCCTTCCCTTCCCTGCTATGCGTCTCCCTGTCGAGCCCTCAGAGAACATCTGTGTAGGGAGGACGGAGGGGGACCCCGAGTTTCTGCTGTGGTGCGCAGAGCTGCGAAGGCCTGGCCTGAAAAGGTAAGGGCGATGGCGGGTTATGCAGAAGAGGCCGGGCCAGAAATAAACAGAGAGTGAGGGAGAGAGAGACATAGAGAAATACAGAGAGACGGGGGGGGAGAGAGACACATACAGAGATACAGAGAGAGAGGGTGGGAGAGAGAGAGTCTCGGCTAGTCGTTCGTTCAGAACTGCGATAGGAAATAATCACCAGTAACACAGAGAGAATCAGGGTTTACTTTGGCAATGATAAGCTTGCAGTCAAAAGTAAAGTACAAGTCGGTGTTTTGGTTCAAAGTCAGCGCTGGGTGTAATCACACCACAGCGCTATTTAACAAAAACTCAGCCCCTTAAACATACATCCGGTGATTATCAATCAAGCACCCCCCACTCCCTTAACAGTAACAGCTGCGAGCATCAGAGCAGCGAGGACAGCAGAATCGGAGAGGCCCGGCAACGTCATCAATCATCGCCCTGAATGCTGCTATCCAGGAACTGTTTGTGTGTTCGCTGAGGCTGCTTGTCTCCACTCCTTCGTCTCCCACACACCCCCATCGATGGCGAGCTCCGGCAGGACTCGACAGGCGGCCCCCCTACCAGGAGCTCACCTATAAATGGAATGCATACAGATGTTAGTCACTGTTACGATCCTGCATTAGGTTTGTCTGGGTATTTCCGATGGAACCGTTGTATCAATCGGGCAGCGTGAACATCGGGTGCTGCCACCCACGAGGCCTGTGTTACAGGGCATCCTTTCCACCGCACAAGATATTGTAACATCCCCCTACGAACCCTGGAGTCCAATATTCGGTCTATCTCATATTGGTTGGTATGCACGGGACCCGGTGGAGTAGTTGAGGTACCTGGCCTTTCTATCGTCACCGGTTTCACTAAACTGCTATGGAATACGGGATGTATCCTACTGAACAGAGGGGGAAGTTTAAGAGCTACGGTTACAGGATTGATGACTTGTGTTATGGGAAATGGTCCTATATATTTAGGTCCTAATTTTTTACTGGGCAGTCGGAGTTTAAGGTATTTCGTAGATAAGTATACTTTGTCTCCTATCCGGAATGGTTTGGGATCAGCTCTTTTCTTGTCTGCATATTTTTTGTACTCGTCTGCTGCCTTTTGTAATGCTGTTTTTACACTTGGCCATACATTACTAATTTTATCGGCCCAACTGTGTGGCGTGTCACCGTCTGTCATAGGGGGATCTAACTCTGGAATGGCTGAAAACTCTCGACCATATATTACTTGGAAAGGGGAGAACCCAGTACTGCGGTGGGGTATGTTGTTATATGCCACTTCGGCGAAAGGCAGGAGTCCTGACCAATTCGTCTGCTGGTATGAAACGTAGCATCTGATATATCTTTCGACCATGGCATTGGCCCGTTCAGCCGCCCCGTTAGTGCTCGGGTGGAATGCTGAACTTAACCCTTGAGAGGACCCAATTAAACGGACAAATCGTCTCCAAAACTTAGAGGTGAATTGAACACCGCGGTCGGATATAATCCTCTTAGGTGCTCCATGGAGACGATAGATATGTTGCAAAAAGAGTTCGGTTAATTGTCGCGCGGATGGTATGCTTTTACATGGCACAAAGTGGGCCTGTTTCGAAAACAGATCTACCACCGTCCAAATTACAGTGTGGCCATGGCTAGGGGGGGGAGATCGACTATGAAATCCATAGCGATCTCTTCCCAAGGCCTGCTAGGATTCGCGACTGTCTGTAATAGTCCTAACGGTCGTCCAGACCAGGGTTTGGCGGTTGCACAGGTTGTGCAACCTTTTACGTATGTTTCTATGTCCTTACGCATTCGTGGCCACCAGAATTGCCTCCTCACAAGGTGTAGAGTTTTTAAATACCCAAAATGGCCTGCTGATTTGGCATCATGGCACCTGCATAACACTACGTTCCATAAACGTTCTGGAACATATATTCTATTCTCCCTCCACGCTATTCCATCATTATAGCTAACCATAGAGGGGTTTTGGATTACCCATTGATCCTGTTGTAAAGC